CGCATCCTTTGGACCGGGGTCCCTGTGCCGAGAAGCTCCTAGTCCAGGGAAACACTGATGAGAAGGTCAAGAGAGAGAAAGCCTTCCCCTGGAGCTGACACCCTGAATTTGGACTTTTAGCCTACTTTACTGTAAGGAAATAAACTTCTCTTTGTTAAAACCATCCACTTGTGGTACTTCTGTTAAACCAGCACTAGATGACTAAGACACTTGGTAAAGCAGAGGGTCAGAGAAAAGGGGAAGACTTTCAAGGAGATGGATTGACACAGTGGCTGCAACAATGGGCTCAAATATAGCAAGGATTGTGAGGATGGCACAGGACCACGCAGTCTTTCATTCTGTTGTACACAGGGTTGCTATGAGTCGGAACCAACTTGATAGCACCTAACAACAACAACAACAGGCACAGAAAAAATAAAAAGCATTGGAAATAAATGGCCAAACACATTAAATGTGCTTCTGTTTGTGTGATAGGTCTGTGGGTGATTAGTGCCCTTGTTTTTCTCTTTTTCTGAATTTTTCTCATCTCGTTAGTGACAGTGTATTACCTTCCTGGTCAGCCCATACATTTATGAACAAATTTATTTCAAAACATTTATAGCATCACCAGTTGAAAAGTAGGTTGTTGTCAGTTGTTTAATTTTAATTTGAAAGAAATTCATGATAAATACACTAACGTTTCTGTCCAGTGGCCTTTGCTAAAATGAAGTCTTGATTTCCCATTCCCTAAACAATTTTAAGGATCTTATATGGTCTTTACATAAATAATGCCAAACTCGAAGCGGTTTTCTTCTCTTATTCTTTGAATTCCTAAATTCAGAGGTGTGAAAGGGTCTACTTCTTTAGCCAAATCTATATGAATTTTTTCCATCCTTTATTATTTTATTTTTACAAATTAATAAGCATACATTTCATTTACAATGATTTAGTTTTTTAAATTTTTTAATAGCCTTTGGCCTCTAGATGTCCTAGGGACAGGTGTTGTCGTGGTAGTTAGTTGCCTTGGAGTCAGCTCTGACTCATAGAGATCTTACGTACAACACAATAAAATGTTGCACAGCCCTGAGCCATCTTCATCAGTACCGGTATGTTGCAGTCCACTATTGTTGTTACTGGGTCAAACCATCTCATTGAGGGTTTCCCTTGTTTTCACTGACCCTCTCCTTTACCAATTGTGATGCCCTTTTCTAGAGATTGGTCTTCCCTGATGATACGTCCAAAGTATGCAAGCTGAAGTCTTACCAACCTTGCTTCTAAGGAGCATTCTGTTTGTATTTCTTCTAAGACTGATCTGCTTATTCTTTTGGCAAGCCACAGTATAGTCAATGTTCTTTGCCACCAGTAAATGTATAAATTCTTCATCTATCTTCCTTTCTCATTGTCCAACTTTTGTATTCATGCAGGGTGATAGAAAAGGCCATGGCTTGGGCCATGCTCACCTTAGTCATCAAAGGACACTTTGCTTTTAAAAACTTTAAAGAGGTCTTTTGCAGCCCAATGTAATACATCATTTGATTTTTTGACTGCTGCTTCCATAGACATTGATTGTTGATCTAAGTAGAATGAAATAATCGACAGCTTTAATTTCTTCTTGTTACTTGTTATTTCTTGTTACTGTGTGAACAAGTGACCACAGCAGAAAGCAGAAGGTGCTAAGACTCCTAGGACAGGAATAAATGAAATCTCAGAATGCTACAAGGAGGGAGAAATGACCTCCCACAGGAGGACCAGGAAGGGCTTCACGGAAATGATAGGACTTTGGTTGGGTCTTGAAAGATATGCAGGATTGGAACACATATAGATAGGGTGGAAGGTGGTGGTTTAGCCGACACAGAGTCACAGAGGTGTCAAATAGCTGCTCAGTGGTGAGAATAAGTAGGTTAGCATAGCTGCAGAATGGTCAGGGAAAATGTGGATGATGAAGCTAAATTGGGGCCACACCAGAGAAGGTCTTCAATTCCTCCAATAAGGAGTAGAATTGACATGTTAGGTATTGGAGAATAATGGAGGAAATTAGACACAAGTAAAGCAAGACCACACCTAAAAAATTCTTGTGCTTCCTGTATCTGTAGAGTTACTTTAAGCACATGGACTCTGTTTGCCTTCCATCCCTATGATTGCTAACGGCTGGTTGTGAGGGAGGTGAAGCAAAGGGAAGATCTGGGACAAACTTCATTGGGGCTCTAGCATCCAGGTATCTTCCCTACTTACTGTCAATTGCAAATGATGGGGTCTCTATCACTTGTTTCATTGGAAACTCTAGATCATAGACAATAACTCCTTCTCCTCACCATCCCCCTCTGCCTCCAGCTCTCGATTGATACCAAGTTGGTATTCCTCCACTCACTTCTTGGGGAACTCCCTTCATACTCATGATTCAGTTTCAGAGAGCTGGCTAGCATGAGTCTGGGAGAGTGAGAAGAAGGAAATGGAAACTGCTGACTCAGTCACTTTTTAATAATAGATCTTACTATCTAGCTCTAGGATTACAGCATTTGCCACATCGTGTTGTAACTCTTTACGCAATTTTTCTCCTCAAAAATTCAGACCATGTCCTGTTGATTTAAAACCCCCAAATCCTCGCACGTGATAACTATAACTTGATGAATTTCCTGACATAGTCTCTATTTCTTATAATTTTGGTCTTTTTAATAAAAGTGATTTATTGACTATATAGTATAATTCTGCCTTTGTTGTTGTGCGCTGTTGAGTCAATTTCGACTCAGCGACCCTAAGTGATACAGTAGAACTGCTCTGTAGTGTTTCTGAGGCTGTAATCTTCATGGGAGCAAATCATGTTTTCTCCTGGGGAGTCACTGGTGGGTTTGAACCACATACTTTTTGGTTAGCAGTCAAGCACTTAACCATTGCTCCACCAGGGCTCCCTATAGTTCTGTCTTACTGTTTATATATTTTAGGACTTTCTGTATCAATCCTAAAACCAAGAAACAGCCCTCTGTCATATGTGTTTTTGCTTGGATTGGAAGATAACATAATTGCATGCATAGTATGTATTTAGTAGCCATATGCTGAATGAATTATATAAGGGAGTTTGAGTTGGAAGGAACTTAGAGATTTCCTAGGTGGTAACCTGATGTTCCCAGGTGAAATGACTTGCCCCGAGTCACACAGACAGAATTTGAATCCCGAGAAATCTCAGAAGAATTGGTCAATTTTGTACTTTCACTGATGAGGGTAAATTCCATGTCCGTGTATCACCAACAATAAGCACAGTCCTGACACATAGTGGTGCTTAATAAATATTGAATGAATGAATTAATTCTTTCACTAACAGTATGTGTTATAACCGAAGTCCTACTATAGGGTTGAAATACTAATGGGAAGAAAAGGGCCAAAAGCCAGAGTGTCAAGGTCTTGATCTTTGAGGGACCATCCAAGATAAC